TGTGGTCCTCAATGGAACCACATCTACATGGAGGGAAGTGTATAGTGGGGTGCCCCAGGGCTCTGTTCTGGGCCCAGTGCTCTTCAACATCTTCATCAACGATTTGGACGAGGGGATAGATGGGGAAATCATCAAATTTGCAGATGACACCAAGCTGGCAGGAATAGCCAACACTCCAGAAGACAGGCTTAGGATACAGGAGGATCTGGACAGACTTGATCACTGGGCGCTATCTAACAAAATGAAATTCAGTGGTGAAAAAAATAAGGTTCTACATTTAGGCAAGAAAAACCAAATGTACAGGTATAGTATAGGGGGTACCTTGCTCAATAGTAGTAACTGTGAGAGGGACCTCGGAGTCCTAGTGGACAATCACTTAAATATGAGCCAGCAGTGTGCTGCTGCAGCTACCAAAAAGGCCAACACAGTGCTGGGCTGCATTAACAGAGGGATAGTATCAAGATCACGTGAAGTATTAATACCACTTTACAATGCCTTAGTAAGGCCACACTTGGAATACTGCATCCAGTTTTAGTCACCACGATGTAAAAAAGATGCTGAGACTCTAGAAAGAGTACAGAGAAGAGCAACAAAGATGACCAGGGGACTGGAGGCCAAAGCATATAAGGAAAGGCTGCTGGAATTGGGTATGTCTAGTTTAATGAAGAGAAGGACGAGGGGGGACATGATAGCAGTATTCCAATATCTCAGGGGCTGCCACAAAGAAGAGGGAGTCAAGCTATTTTCCAAGGCGCCTGAACGCAGGACAAGAAGCAACGGATGGAAACTAATCAAGGAGAGAAGCAACCTAGAACTAAGGAGAAACTTCCTGACAGTTAGAACAATTAACCAGTGGAACAATCTGACTCCAGAAGTGGTGAATGCTCCAATACTGGAAGATTTTAAGAAGAGACTGGACAGCCATTTGTCTGAAATGGTATAGGGTTTCCTGCCTGAGCAGGGGGTTGGACTAAATGACCTCCAAGGTCCCTTACAACTTTATTATTATTATTATTGCTGACTCAGGTAGACCTTGGGATAGCCTTTAAATTTCATGCATGATACTGCATGTAGCTGCTTCTCACAATTGTGTAATGGGATTTAAATAATGTATTTCTCAGTATAAACTGGCAAATCATTTTGATTCTTCAAACTTCTGAGAGGGTCCTAAGACCACATTTTAAGAAACTCTTAATTAGAATATAGAAGTTGACATTGACTAACCTTATTAATGCTCTTATAATGTTACTATTTATAACCAGGATTTCTGTTCTGATTTAAGACCATAATAAAGCCAGTGTATTCTTTATACTTTTATATGGCAGAATTCCAATTCGTTTGGGGCATCTTGCAAGATAAGGACTGGTGGGAGGGGGATTAAAAAATTACTTTTGAGAGATCCAGTGGATACTTGAGAATTCTGGATCCACTGTATCTCTGTGAATCCTATGTGAGTGCCATATTGTTGACCTCTGTTACAGAAATGTACAGATAGTCCTCAACTTACAACCACTGTTGAGGCCAAAATTTCTGTTGCTAAGCGAGACATTTGTTAAGTGAGCTTTGCCCCGTTTTATGACCTAACTTGTGAAGTTGTTAAGCGAATGAATGCAGTTGTTCATTAATAACACTGGCTTCCTCATGGACTCTGCTTGTCAGAAAGTTACAAAAGGTGATCCCATGACCCCGGGACACTGCAACCGTCATAAATATGAGTCAGTTGCCAAGTGTCTGAATTTTGATCCGGTGACCATAGGGATGCTGCAATGGTTGTAAGTGTGAAAAACGATCATAAGTCACTTTTTTCAGAGCTGTTGTAACTTCGAACAGTCACTAAATGAACTGTTGCAAGTCAAGGAGTACCTGTATATAGATTCTGTTGTTCATTCAAAACAAAATTAAACAAAACTGCCATATTAATATATGCCATTTAGTATACAGACAAACAACTACTTATGTTTTCCGGCAATATCTTATTTTTTTTATTGAGCAATTACCTCTTGAAAGTGTTTGCAGGCTTGGCCATAGGTATATATTATGCTATCAAAAATTACAGGCTTTGCTTTGGATAGTAACATTTTTGAAAGAATATGTATTAATGTCAATATATTAAGTGAGGATATATAGATGGTCTTCAACTTACAATCACAATTGGGCTTGGAATTATGATTGCAAGTCATGGTCATTAAGTGGATTACCATTGTGACTTGACTTGATTTTATGACCATTTTTACATTGAGTTACAATAAGTTGTTAAGCAAACCACTTGGTCATTAACTAGATCCAGAATATCCAATGGTAGTTTTTTGCCATAAAGCTACCAAAGTTACAAATTGATATCCTGTGAAAGTGGTACACTGAAACTGGTCATAAAGGCAAGCTGGTTGCCAAGGTCCCAAAACATGACTGCAGGTTATTGTGTAGCAGTTATAACTTTGAGGATAGGTCATAAGTAGCTTTCTAAAAGTCTGTTGTATCTTTGAACAATGGTTACGCAACTGGTTGTAAATTGAGAATTACCTATAGTTTGTCCCATTTGGGTTTCATTAATATTACAGACTAGATGAGACTAGACTAGATTAGAATATACTTTATTGGCTAAGTGTGATTGGACATACAAGGAATTTATTTCCAATGCATAAGCTCTCAGTATACATACAAACAACAAAGTAATATTTTCATAAGATACCAATAGGAGAAAGTAGTAGAAAAGGTGAGAGAAATAATAGTAATAGCGCAATACTACATGGGTAAATATTCTTAGACATAAAACAGTACTGTGATAATTAGGTGTTCAGCAGAGTGATGGCACAAGGGGAAAAAACTGTCTTGTATATCTCTTTTTTTTTTGGCATGCAATGCCCTATAGCGGCATATTTATAATATGTTATATAAATATAATTTATATATTATATAAATAATATATCTGTGATATATTTAAACTAAATCTGTTAAAATAGAAATACCCTAATTTATGAAGAAAGCAAAAACAAAAATAACTTTATTAATAATATATACTTTTATTTTTATAAAACTCTAGGTGGCATACATAATGTTCCTATCTCCTGTTTTCCCTGCAGCAGCAACCCTGTGGGGTAACATTATGCCCACACTAATTTTTCTGTTAAATCAAGTTACATTTCTGTACTCTAGCCATATGTAAGTAGTAGTTCTTCAGAACTTTAATTATGTGTAAATTCTAATTTGAAGTTAAAAAAGGTGGAATGAATAGATTGGAAATGGTCTTTATATGTCTAAAAAAATATGGAGACTTGACTGTCAGTCAAGGCACTTGCAAGTGCCTTTGCAAGAAATTAAGATACAGCAATCAGATCAGGTTCAACATAAAAGAAAAATGATAGTAAAATAGTAAGGCTTATACTGTCCATATCTCAACTTCTGAATTGTTACTTTTGTAACCAGTTACTGAATTTAAATAAATCACATCCTATATTGCTTAACTATAATGGGTTGAGCTCTTGAAATACTGATAGTATGATTTTCCTGCCCTGGGTAGGCAATCTCACATAGAAATACAGGAATATACTGAAATTTTGTTAGACTTCTATGGTTTCATACTGGATTTGGCCTTGTAGAAGCCCAGGCTGCTAGGTTGCCAGTCTCTACTATGTATAAAACACAGTTGAAAAATATGTGGAAATGTATAGTTATAATAATTAGCAACTCTCCTAAGTAGAATATAAATTGAATTTATTGGAAATAGAGTTCAGTGCTTGGCTAGGATGAAAATAATTCTTTGGCTTGAAATTCTTAATCGGGATTTCATTTTTTCTCCTCCTTTCAGGTACCCTTGTTTCCTATACATGTTGAAATTTTATCCAGAATGCTTTTTTTAGTAATAGTACTACTCTTTAATGGAATAATTTCTTACTCCAATGGTAAATCTGTTAGCAAGTCAGTGCCAAGATTACTTCTGGTGTCTTTTGATGGCTTCAGGGCTGATTATTTGAAGAAATACGAACTTCCACATCTCCAGGATTTTATTAAGGCTGGTGTATTAGTAGAACATATTACCAATGCTTTCATCACAAAAACTTTTCCAAATCACTACAGTATAGTCACAGGCCTGTATGAAGAAAGCCATGGTATTGTAGCAAATGAAATGTTTGACATTGATAAAAAGAAGCATTTTTCACAGTTTAATGATACCGATTCTTTCTGGTGGGATGAAGCAATTCCTATTTGGGTGAGCAATGAATGGCAGGAGAACAAAACAAGTGCTTCTGCAATGTGGCCTGGCACAGATGTAAAAATTCATAATACTCTTCCTCACTTTTTTATGAAATACAATTCTTCAGTAAGCTTCAGTGAACGTGTAGAAAAGATTATTGAATGGCTGAATAGTTCTAATCCATTAGTTACTTTTGCTACTCTTTATTGGGAAGAACCAGATGCAAGTGGACACAAGTATGGACCAGAAGATACTAAGAATATGGCTAAAGTATTACAAGAAGTAGATAAGCATATTGGCCTACTTGTTGAGAAGCTCAAAGTTTCAAAGTTGTGGGAAGAAATTAATGTTATCATTACAAGTGATCATGGCATGGCACAGTGCTCTCAGGAGAGATTAATCAAACTGGATGATTGCATTGATCGTAGCAGCTATATGCTAATAGACAGAAGCCCGGTTGCTGCCATATTGCCAAATAGTAAGTATATTCTTAATAATGTAAAATCTGTTACTATTCAATGCTTTTAACATTATTATTCTCAAAGTTATGTAATTTCATAAGTAAGTCACTAATCGTATTTCTCAGTTTGTTGAATATTAAGATTACTGATTCTGATCAGAAAAATACTGAATTCCTTTCTCTATAGTGTTTTTTCAACTGAGCATAATAATTTTACATGTTATATTAGTTAAGACCAATATGTAAACAAAGCTATGTTATGATTAACACTACAAATTTCTAGTGTTGTCTTTGTTTAAATTTGTTATTGCATATAGAAAAGTCATTGAAATAAGAAAGCTATTTTGTCCTGAGCACAGCCAAACTTCAAAACATTCATCAGTACAAATTCATCATGTTTTGAATATTCCAAGTTACACACATAATTACACATATAACAAACATCAAGCATTTGAACCTTATACTATAGAGGTCTAGGGAACTTGAAACAGATCACTTGCTGTCTCATTCTTTGCTTTAGGTATGGCAATAAAAGGTGGAGTGATAGTCCATATTGACTGTTAACTACCACCATACTTATGAATATGCTGATGAGATCATTTTTAAACTTGAAAAATTCCCACAAGTCATAAATTTGACTAGCTTTTAAAAAAATATATATTCTGTCTATAACAAATAGCCATAGAGGCCTAGTGGGAAAGTAAACCTGTAGTATGATTCTCTAAAACATTGTAATGCTACAATGTTTAAGAATTTAAGATGTTTGAACATACTCTGTTCTGAACTGGGGACAACATTCAGTGTTTTACTCTAAGCTCAAAATACTAGGATGCAGCATTTCAGATGCAAAATATTTTGGGTTTAGAATGTCCCTTATTGCATCTTTAAAATAAAGAATGATTTAACTCTTAAAAACGTATAGTTTTACTTCTGAAAGTAAGCATATGAAAATAAGAGTAGATGTGGTTCACATTAAACTTAAGCTCTTAGGAAATATGAATGCACTTTTTATATTCACAGTAACAAGTTTTTAAATTTTACAGATAAATAAATGACCAACTTATTTATACTTTGTTTTTTTAGATGTGACACATGTATATAACTTAATGAAAAACTGCAGCCCTTATATGAAGGTTTATCTTAAAGAAGAAATTCCAGAGCGATATCATTACCATCACAATAAGCGCATTCAGCCAATAATTTTGGTTGCAGATGAAGGCTGGACAATTGTACAGAATGGGTCTCTTCCCAGATGTAAGTTTTTTTTAACACTTACTAATTAAAATATATAATTCTCTTTCTGATGGGGGAGGATATAGTTATATAAAGCATAGAAGAATTAAAAAACAGAAACCTTTTGAAAATATCTGAAAGCACTAAAGATTAGATTCTTTCTTAACTAATATATTTTGCTTAATTCTATGTATTCAGAAATTTAGAATACTAAACTGGATTGCCCTAATTGCAAAAATATGAAGCCCTAAAGTCACCTAAATCAGGTAGCATCTCATTTAGAAGTTTGGAGCACAATTACCAGTTTTATAAGCTAAGGATTGTGAAGAGAAACAATGGATTTACAGACACTCCTATTAGACAGATATAAAGTTTAGCGGCAGGAAATTTTGGGGTGAAATCTGGACAACACTGAAGACCTTTCTTAGCATAATGTCCTTCAGTTGTATCTCTTCCTGGTTGAAACCTTAATTTTGATGGAGGAAAAAGGTTACAGATATCGGTAATCTCAGAATATTGATTGTAAATATTGGGAGGGAGAGATTTCAGCAATTGGCTTCAGCTGATCTATAGAAATAGCCAATAAATGTGATAAGGAGACTAAAGAGATTTATCTCTTTTTAAAACTTAATTATTGGTTTAATAGCCTTCCTTTTTACAGTGAAATTTAGAATTTAACATATAAAGTTTTTTACATGATTTGGTAACTAAAGTATTATATATCATAAGCATGAACAGAAAATTCACATGTTTTACTATGCTTATATAGTCAGAATAGGCCATTGAGAAACAAGAAATTGATATTGTCATATCAGGGAACCCCAAGATTTGCTGAAATAGGAAAAAGGGAGAAAAGTCCAGCATATTGGGATGTCCATAAAATATTAGATTCTGAGAGAGCAGTGTAAAAATATCCTGAAACATATTTGTGCTATGTGACTATTCTATGGGGTGGCAAGCAGGGGATGGGAAACAACAAGGGGTATTCTCACAGAGATATAGCAGAAAGTGCACAACTTGTAACTTGACAAACAGGTTGTTTTAATAGGAGATAATGTTAAAATACTTTCCTTGGAATTAATATATTTGTCATAATCTTCTTAAATATCAAATTGATTTTATTGGAGATTGATTTTTTTTACTTTTGAAGATTATGCAATTTTAACAGTTTGATGAACTAAAATATTAAATTTAAATATTCTGCTTCTATTTTTAACCAAGCAGAAAACAATAGCTTATTGAAAAAAGTTAAGCTATAATCCTGTAATGGCAGGATTATATTTACTAGATAAAATAACTTAGCTAAATCTTTGCAATGCATTAACAATTCTTGGCTTCTTTATTTTTCAGTAGGAGACCACGGCTATGATGATATTCTTCCAAGTATGCAGCCATTTTTGGCAGCTCACGGATCTGCTTTCCGTAAAAATTACAGACTAAATTCAATCCGTACTATTGATATTTATCCAATGATGTGTCATATTTTAGGGTTGAAATCCCAACCTAATAATGGCACTTTGAGCAATTCCAAGTGTTTATTAGTTGATCAGTGGTGCATAAATGTTCCTGAAGCGATTGGAATAGTTATTGGTGTCTTTATGATATTAACTACTCTGATGTGCCTTATAATAATCACAAAGAAAAGAACTCCTTCTCTACGTCCATTTTCAAGACTCCAGCTTCAGGAAGAAGATGATGATCCTTTAATAGGATAAGACCCCTGTTCTGACTTTTGTTTTGAAAAGACAGTACAGAAATATAAGTTATGTTGGCTAATAACATGATGCACTTTAATAAAGATCCACCAAAACTACAGAAGAAGATCATTGTCTCTCTGAAAAAAAAATCTTGAATAGAATTTATTTTCTAATAGAAAATAATAGAAAATTAATAGTAGTAAAAATTTATTTCCAAGTGATAAGAAAAAGATTATTTGTGAGTGAATCTGCTTGCATATATTTGATGAACAATTGCTTAGAGATATTGTGGCATTTCCTGAAATTAGACAGGAGCCTCTTCAGCAACGATCACAACTTTAAAAAGCAGGGTAAACTAGGCAACCAAGGCCTTGCCCATTTTGATGTGCACAGTTCTTTGATTGCCCAGTCATCCCCGCCCTTTTGAAGCCAGTGAATTGTCATTTCAGATGTCCCTGAAACTGGTTGGAAAAAATATAAACCGTCATGAAATTCTTTATAAAGCAGATTATAATTGTGAAAATAATCCAGATTTATTTTCCATTTTGGGAGTAGTTGCTATAATAGTTTAATTTAGAAGCTGTTAATATCTAGGAGTCATAACTCTAGAGCACTGTGCACTCTATGTCAGTCTCTGCAAACTGGATGTTTCCTTTATTTCAAGCTGTTGGAAAACCGTTCATGCAGGTATATCTTCAAGCTACACTAAGCAAAAAGAAATAGCATGTCATACTACTACTATAAATGTCCCAAAGCAGATAGATTATATCTTAAATCATTTTTCATAAGCTGATTCTAAACATAGTTTAATATGTTTTTCTCTATTTAGACAGGTATGGTGTTTTCAATCTATTTTGGTACCGTAGGTATTGAGGTGTTTCATGTGTTTGAATTAACAATAAGATTGTATTATACATACAAATATTTTTAATGACTGCAAAAGAAATGTTTTATAAGAAGGGTTTTGGAAAGCAAAAGGGACAGTTAAAAATGACTTTCTGCTGCTTGCAGATCGTATATGATTCTGTACTGTATATTCAGTTAATTGACATGTTCAGCAATGATGATTATTTGGTTTTTTAAATTCCTAATAATTGCTTGATTTAAAGTAGACTATTTGTAATAGGCAGATAATATGCAATACCATTTGTGTTTGTCTGTTTCATTCTGAAAGAGTTCAGGGGAAGTGAATACTTAAGGCATAGGAGGACACATAATTTTCATTGGTATTTCAAGCGTTCCAAATTTAACTTCAGTTTCTTTGCTTGCCTTCTTTAAGAAATGATGGTAGAATCTTTGTAATCTGCAACACTCCATGAAGATACAACCATACGTATCTGATAACAGCTGTCGTAAAAAAAATCCAGAACTACACTATTGATTAGGAGATGTGCTATTTAAATAATTGTTCTCCCCAAAAGCAGAAGCAGCTTTTCAGTGCCTTATTTAAGCAATAGTGACACTGAGGGAGGAGTTTCTGACATCAACTGGTATTTGGCATTTGTGCATGAGATAAGGGAGCCCATTCAAACTCAGTTTCTTCTTACTAAGGTGACACCTTGGTATTCTACTTGTTGGAATAAGCCAGAATCTTTAAATTAGAAGTACAGTGAAATTTAGTCTTTTAAGAAGTAAAACAATTTCTCTTCAGGATTACTTAATTTATTTCACTTCCACAGAAAAGAGAAACTCAACCTTCTTTCAAAAGATCATTTTATTACATAATGAGAAGCAATGCTTGGTATTATCAAAAAGAAAACATGTTTTGGAAGTAAATAGGAAGGTTTTTTTTGTTTTTGCTTTGAAAATTGGCATCCTAATAGGAAAGACTTAAATAACTAATTTGTACAAGGATATTTGTAGCTGTTCTACACAAATTTAATATTTCAGGGACTCTTCCAGATTTTGATAACCATAGCATAAATAATAGGAAATAAAGAGCAATTATGCAAAACTTTAAAAAGCTTAAAACTCCTTTAAATAAAGCTAATTAGACAATGGACCTCAAGTAGCAAACAGTTCATCAAAGGAAATGTGAATTAATGTGAAAAAAGCTGTTACAGTATATTCTTTATCCTTCATCTCAAGACTACTGGCTACTGTTACCAAAAATGTTACATATTTTGGGAATACTGACTTGTTATCTCTGCAATTATCAGGGATAAATTTATACTGAGAAAATAAATTTCAGTAATGAACTATGTTATTTTTTTAAAAGACTATTGGGATATCTTTGTAATTGAGGATTTTGGACAATCTGTTGACTTTGATTCAAGAGGCTGTTGCCTCTTAATACTTTTTCAGTATTACTGTAAGGTTTATGCTTTCTTACTTTTAGATTCAAGTACTTTTTCATTCATTCTAAAGTTCTTGCCAGTCAAAATTATATTAACATTCAGAACAGCCAATTTTTTTCTTGTCTTGTCTACAAGCTATTCTCTCTTACTTCCTAAAAACTTAAAATTGCATAATAAACGTTCTGGTTTAGTTTTATGAAACTGCCTTCTGTAGATCTTTTGAATTGTGACTCTAGATGTATACTACATATATCATTTTTCTGAGCTATTCCCAAAACGATTTAAGTTGACTATGGGAAGAAAAAATACGCAAAAGATATATGTTTGAAGAAAGTAAACCATTTCTGTTGTCTTATTCACAATACAGCTTTTGACAAAAAAAATGCATTCCTGTCTGAGGTTCTCCACTGGGGTATATATTAAGCAAGATTCTGTTTGGGACAGATTTGGCACTTTGGAAAAGGTCTTAGTTCAAAGTAGAGGTTGACTTTGAAGTAGCCTTCTGTGGATATACTAGGAAGAAATTGTATGTGGCTTAAATTATGTGGAGGATTTGTCTGAATTTTCCAGGCTCAGCTCAGAATTGTTTGCTAAAGAATTTGTTTTAAGAGATCTTTAATTGACATATCTGCTTTTATTACTGAAATGTGTGAAATCTCGAGTTTAAAGATGATAACTATTTTCTATCCACACTTTCCAGCTTACGTATTATGTCACTTGCCACAGAAAAAGATTCTGTTCTAGACAGCAAATGAAACATCTGATAACAAAGCTGGAAAGCCACCTTTTTTCCCTCATCATATACCTTTTAAACAGTCATGCTATGGATCCACTAGAAGGCACCATTTCATTACTGGTGACCTTGGGCCAGTCACTTTCTCTCAGCCCTAGGAAGCAAGAAAGGGCAAACCACTTTGAAATCTTTCAAAAAAAAACTTAAGAGACTTGTGCAGGTACTCAGCAGGTGTCAGCACTGACCTGAAGAGACCTCCCCAAAGAAAAAGTTAGATGGGCCAGTGGTTTATTATTGCCTAAGAATATTAGTGCAGGATAAAGGCAAAGCCCTACTCCCAGAGAAGTCCATCAAAAACATTACATAACCTCTTATCCATAATTCGTAGGAGCAAATTATTGAGAGGCATACTGCTTCCTATGCTAGTATACTGTACTTGCAACAAGTAAATATTAGAATTATCCATGATTTTCTCTAATATTCCTTTGTAAGCCTGTTCTTTTTGTGTTGTGTTCTATGATGAGATCCAATGAAAAAGCACTAGAACCAATTGTACAGGTAGTCCTTGACATACAACAGTTCAGTTAATGACCATTCCACAGCACTGAAAAAAGTGACTTATGACCATTTTTCACACAACCATTGCGGATTTCCCATGGTCACATGATCAGAATTCAGACACTTGGCAACTGACTCGTGACAGCTGCAGTGTCCTGGGGTTAAGTGATAACCTTTTGCAACCTTTGGCAAGCAAAGTCAACGGGAGCCAGATTCACTTAACCGTGTTACTAACTTAACTGTGGCAAGAAAGATCTTAAAATGGGGTAAATCTCATTTAACAAATGTCTCAGCAACAGAAGTTTTCAGCTCAATTGTGATTGTACATTGAGGACTACCTGTACTGCATTCAAGTTATAGCAGAAGTATATGGTGCTATGGTGACACTATTAGAAAAAACATGAAGTCTCTTGAATTTGCAGCACATTTTATTTGTAGCATTTGAAATTCTAAGACATTGGAGTTGCTTAGGAGGTATTTTATTCAAATTGGACATTAGCTACATCTTGAATACTACAGTCTTAAAACAAATGCTCATGGTCTCTATATCTGGTAATCTGAGTTTTTTGCAGATCTGAATGATACTATCTTTAACAAAATTGAATCCTTACCAAGCAATAGTTGCTATAGTTAGTAAAGTAGTGAAAACTAAACATACAAAAAAATCAAGGCAATTTTGACATTCAACCATTTATTACAATATACAACTAATCAATATAAATAACCTTGCACAGAAGCCTTGCAGTCCTGAGCTTGACCTCTCCAAGATGGGTAAGTCTGAGGAATAGGAAGAAATAATAGATTTTGTACAATCCCCTCAGGCCTTTTGCTGAGCCCGACTGCCAATCCCAGAGCTGACAACTCTGGCATAAGACTGAGGGAGCATAAATTTGCGGATAGGAGATAAATATTGCCATCTTCACCCAGCAGACTTTGGGAAAAAACAGCAGGCAGGACACACGCTCTAAATGCTCTTTCCAGCTGATAAATTGGGTTACAGAACATGCTATTCCCTTTGTATCCACCCCAGATTATTGCAGACCTGTTCACTTCCCTGTGCAAAGAAAAAAAATGAAATTCTTAGTATTCCCACATCTTCAAAACATTTATTTATGAACATTGCTCTACCACCCAATTCCTCAGAGTCCAGATTATTTGATTATGTGCCATTAATTTGGTGTCAATTTGTATAACCACACAGGTTTTTTCTGTGATTATCTGTGCTTAACCTGGTCTTTCAGGTCTGCCATCATCACTATAACTGAATCCATTCATCTTGCTGCTGGTCATCTTTTGCATAATGTATCCTAAGTATCATAGTTTGAGTCTCTCATTTGTGCCTCAGGTAGGAAATCTGGGTTGATTTGTTTGATGATTCATTTGTTTGGGGCTTTTTATGCTATCTGTAGTATTAGGAAGTTCAAAAACATCAATACACTTTCTACCTGACTTTTTCAAAGTCCACCATTTGCTTCACAGGGTGTCACTAGGGAATATTATGGCTGGAACAATTCTGATCTTTGTAGGTATAGACACATCAAGCATCTAAATACATTTTCCAAGGTCTTCATGGCTACTCTACCAAGTGCTAGTCTGCAGCATATTTCTTTTACTATTGTTTGATCCTAAAAGGTAGAACCTATCTACCACTTCAGTATCTTCATTGTCCATCAGGCGATTTACAAACATAAAGATCAATACCTATACCAGGAATGAAAGATAACAAAAGAGTACCACCCCAAACTAAACATCACCCTCAATAATTGAGTCACTAAAGTAAGTCATCAGGGTACCTGACACATGTCCAAGGATAAAGGGTTCTGAGTAGTGGCCTGCCACAGAAACTTACCTTCTGGTTTATCCTTTGTTATCTTGTGGGGCAAAGACTGTAACCAATCCCTTTCTTCTAATTGTAAGGACTGGGCAGATTCCAATGGTCCCTAAAATAATCTGGAACGGAGTGATATGGTCTTTAGAGGTTATAACTAACACTTCGATCTGAGTTTGGAAATGTCAGAATCGTATCACTGCAAACAGAAAGACTGACTTTTTTGTAACTTGAGTAACAATGCAAGAGAGCTAGATAGGCATGAGCACAGGTTTAGAGTAATGGTAAAAGCATGCCCTATGTTAGCAGGAGGATAAATAATTACTTTCATCATTATGTTTGCCTTCTGATTTATTTATGTAATTGTTCATTACTTTTAGCTACAGATATACAGTAACTGACTTTCATTTATACTTTCTCTGAAGCATGGCAATCTCATTTATATTAAAAGGAAAGAAAACATTTTTTTAGAGAGGGGACAATCATTTGAAAATATACTTCACTGTTATATAATTCTATATACAGTATGTAAAATCATGTGCTGAAATGTTAAAGAAGCCAGTATCTTATCTGGAATAGTCCTACCTTTTAGTCTGAAAAGTGATTGTCACTCAACTATCTGAATTCATTGTTAAAAGAATGAGGATCTGCATCAAATAATTTACCTTAAACTCTTGAAATCACTAGGAGCATTTTAATTTCAGTGAAGGCTGAACTGAAGCCTTAATTTGTCTTCAGGTAGTAGCTGTGCACTGAAAATACATGGAATTCATGCTGGTTGCATTTGTGCATTAAAAAGATTTTTTATAAAACACACAAACAAAAAAAGGTTAGTCTGCACCCAACTAAGAGCTGACTTCTGATTTTCCAATGTCAGAGCCCTAGCTTGTTTCTGTTCATTCTGAAAATGGCTGTTCAAGGATTCACAGACAGAACCTTCCACAGTTCTGCTCTTCAAGGCCCTTTCCTTGCAGATAGAGTATTACAAGGTGGGTCTGGGATGGAGTCTTCCATTGAACAAGAGGTCCTCCTAATTGAAGCCCGGAGAAGAAAGCTATGCTGTATAGTAAATATAAGAAGAAAAACCTATTTATAGAAATATGCTTTGGAACATGTGAGGACTGTTGATCAGAACAACACATTCAACATTAATACCTCGATTTAATGAATAACATTTAAAGAATCTTGGTTTGTGCAATGCAATCTGATATGTTTCCTTAAAAGAAAGGCTTTCTGACTTTATCCCAGGTTGCAGCCTAAAGAAGTTTCAAAAATCCCTCCACCTAATCCCCTCTCTCCTTCTGATGTGCAGGAATGTGACATAAAAATGATTACAAAGAGTACATTCTGAGTCCTGTTGTCACTTAGGCTCCATTACCATACAGGGAATATGTTAAGAAACTAAATACTGGATTACACAGAGAGACATGGCTGACTTCTACTAGGAGAAAATGAGAGATACTATGTTCTTCTTGGGGCAAATCAACTACACATAGAGGATGGGAGGCTAGGACGTCGAGTCTGTATAATTTGTGGCTTTGGTATATTGTTTGGGGCCTCCTCTTCTGTTGCATGGCTGTCACAGATGTGTACAACTACACTTGGAGTGGAGTCAGTACCTGCATGTAGTTCATATTTTTCACCTGGAAATCAAGAAAAAATATTATTTTACATTTATTTTATAGTCACCCATTCCAGTAGACTCTGAGTGATTTACAAATACAAATCAATAAAAAAGATAAATACATACAACCCTACAGACAACATGGACTAAAACAATCACACAATAAAAAAAATCAAATGAGGGCCCCAACAAACACATCAACTGCAGACCTGATACCAAAACTAGGTCTTAAATGCTTCTTTGAATCTTAGGAGAGAGAGCACTGTCCATATCTCGGGGGGGGGGGGGAGATGCTGCTCCAGAGGGCAGGAGCCACAACAGAGAAGGCACCCTTTCTTGGTCCCATAAGATGACCGCATGTAATAGTAGGGATCTGGAGCATTCTCACTCTGCTAGAACATAATAGGTGGCAGGACTAGTTGTAAATAGGCAGTCCCTCTGCTATAAAAGGCTATGTGCCTTTTATGGCAGCACCTTGAAATGCACTAAGAAGCTGACTGACAATAAATGCAACTCATGTAGCAGCAATGACATATGGACGTACTGAGAGGTGCCCAATACTGCTCCCAGCACTGCATTTTGTACCAATTGTAACTTCTGGATGGTCTCCAAAGACAGCCCCACATATAGCACATTTCAATAATCCAGTGATGAGATGACTAAGGCATGAGTAACTATCAAAAGAATCTCCCAACTAAGGAAAGGGCACAACTGGCATACAGATGAGCCTGTGCAAAAGATGGCCACAGCTGCCACATGCTCTTCAAGGCCCCCAGTTGCATACCTGTCTAGAATGAGGAAGTGCAGTTCCATCCAAGACTAATGATGGAAACATCCCTGACCCTGTATGGACAAATAGCCAGAGCCACTCAGTCTTGGTCAGATTGAACTGAAATCTATTCTGCCTCATCCAGACCCTGCAGAGGCTGGGTAAGTACATTGACAACTTCATCTGCACAGCCCAGAGTTGAGATGTACAGTTGGATACTGTTAGTGTCATGATGATGCCAAATTCCAAACTGACAGATGACTTTAGCCAGTGGTTTCATGTAGATGTTAAACAGGAAAGGGGAGAGGATCGAGCCTTGAGACACCCCAAAAATGGAGGGGCTGTGGACATGACCTGACCCCCTGTCCCCAGCAACATTGACTGAAACTGACCACTAAGGAAGGAGATGAACCATTGCAACACAGTACCTCCCACTCCTAACCTGCATAGCCAGTCCAGAAGGACCCTGTGACCAATGGTATTAAAAACTGCGGAGAGATCAAGGAGTACCAGAATGGATGCACCAGTACCATCCCAGTTCTGCCAAAGGTCATCAGCAAGTGTGACCAGTGCAAACCTCTCAACTGAACTGCCAAAGTGTTTGGCCCCTGGGTCTATCCATGCTCCTGTGATGGAACTGGAATTTGTTCAGCTTGTCCTTGTGATTATGATTTCCGAGGGAGGGCCACATCTTTGGTATTTCCTGATGGTCTCTAATCCAAGAACATCCAATTCAGATTTTTTTTAATCAATTACTGTTACCAGGTGCTGCCAGAATCTATGATAATGCGGGGTCATTTGAATGAAACAAGAGTCATTAAAGTAACTCAAAGTACTAGGCTATCAGAATATCAGTAAAATAACAATTTAGATTTTAATTTATAATTTAAAATTTTCTTATGTAGAAGCTTAATATATTATAAATGATCCAATATACCATTTGTGCCCATTAAAGGTAGACACCAACTTGCACCAATAGATCTATTATTCTAAGACCAAAATTGGAATCTGGTAACTTTTTTTCAGATTAACACAAAATGAATTCACCAGAAAAGTTGCTACAAGACTCCTCCTGATTTTTTGCCACCGTAGATTAACATAGTTCTCCTTCTACAAAACTGAGCTGCGGTGACGCAATGGTTAGAATGCAGTATTGCAAGCTAATTCTGCTGACTGTTTGCTGCCAGCAGTTCAGCAGCTGGCAATTCTCACCAGCTCAAGGTTGACTGAGCCTTCCATCCTTCCAAGGTCGGTAAAATGAGGACTCAGATTGTTGGGGGCAATATGCTGACTTTGCAAACCGCTCAGAGAGGGCTGTAAAGCACTGTGAAGCATATATGCTATTGCTATTGCTACTACTGTAAATGATACAACGGACACACATAAACACCATGTATAGGAAACTCACAGATTGCAGTGCATACGTATATGCTTCCAGCTTCCATCCAGAAGACACCACCAGTCTACTATGTATTGCCAGACTTTATGCTACAATCATATTTATTCTGACCCACTTGACCAGACATGTCAAACACAAGGCCCGTGGGCCGGATGCGGCCCACGAAGTGGTTTCATGTGGCCCGCAAAGCCATCCTGGAAACAGTGAGGGAACGGCCCCCGCTGCCTTGGCCCCGGCCCATGCCGGCCAGGAGCCAATGTACAATTTTGTGGTGGCCATCAGTCTTAGCTCCACAAAGCCGTCTAGAAACAGCGAGGAACCAGCCCCTGCCTTGGCCCCGCCCCTTGGGTGCATGCTGGGGAGGTGCCACCCTTTGTGAGGAATGAAGAAATGGACCATGCCTTGGCGCTTGCCCCGGTCCCACCCCCTTCTGCCAAAGACCCTCAGATCTGTTCCACTCCTGCCCAGGCCCCCACAGGCACCCTTGACGCGAACGATGTAGAGCTGGCCATGCCCACCCAGTAGGCCATGCCCACTCCATCCACACCCACCCAGTAGGCTGCACCCACCTGGGCCACACCCACCCGGCCCCCCGAGGGCAACCACAATGCTGATGTGGCCCTCAATGAAATTGAGTTTGACACCCCTGCACTTGACAGATATGCTCAACTGATAGCATTAAAACAGGGATTCAGGAGACTGAACAACCCACCCAATGAGATGAATAGACAAATCTTTACAAATATACAAGTATACAAATCTATACAGTGAGATCAATTCCCAAGGTGAACTTATTAAAAGCCATACCATAGAAAAAGAACAAAGAAGACCATTAATTATCACTCACAGCTCACAGCTCAAGCCAGTCAAACATGCTATTAATAAGCTACAGCCCATACTGGACAAGGACACTGCTCTTTCTTAGGCACTGGGCAGCAAGTCCATATTTGCATACAAATAGCCACCTAATCTGGAGCAGATTCTCATGAAAAAAGAGAACAACAAAACAGTGATGTTCCTTTGGGAACCAGACCTGGGAACAAACCCAGGTGTCTAGCTTGTTTCCTATATATAAACCACCAGCACCATAATAGGTCCCAATTATTTCATGCAGAAGATTCACAGATTCATCTGCCATCATCTGGCAGCAGCGCTCCTCTGGATGCTATGTAGGACTTTGGCCAAAAAAAATAACTCTCAGGCCAATTTAAATTCTATTTCAGTCTAACCACTCTATGTATCTGATGGAGAGATCTACAGCCCTTTTGCCAGCCTGTACAGGGTATAAAAAAATGATAGAGTCACAAAGCTCAGTGGAAGATTTCTGACCCAGTTTGTCTGCAATGTTGTCTCCAAAAATCCTAGCCAATGCCCAATCAATCTGGCCTGGTGGAGGGGTGGTTTGCAAGACTGAGTGAATGAGTGAATGAATAGGAATTGGCAATTGAAATTTTACAAATAAATTATTTTATCTTATTATTTTAAGTTTTGCTCCTGTGGTCTCATTTCTTCTATTTTATGAAATCCCCAATCTTTTGACTTTGGTACTGAGTGTAGCCATCCTTACATTTCAATTTAAAAATAAGGGTGCGCAGATTAGATCCTGGGAATTATGTCATAATTATGTTGACCTTCATACAATGATCTTTCTTTTTTATTCCAAAGGTGAATTTTGCGGAGGGAAGGAGGGAGGGAGGGAGGGAAGGAAGGAAGGAAGGAAGGAAGGAAAGAAGGGTCCCAGAGGCCTCCTGCAATATAATAAGGAGCAATAAAGAAGAAAAAGCTAAGCGGGAGAAAAGAATGCAGAAAGGGATCCTGATTTAGGGGGCTGGGAGGATAAAGAGGGGGAGAGGGAGAGTGAAAATGAAAAAAAGTTAGATGGAGAAAAGCTATGGTGTGAGAGAAATGAGAAAAAGAGTGGTGAGATAACACGCGTATGCAGGAAAGAAAAGGAATCAGAAAGGCCGGCTGAGGGAATACTGGCTCTGACCATGCCCGTGGCAGTCCCCTCTCCTATGCCCCTCCATCCAACATCCATCACTTCTGCCACCCCAGAATACTGCCACACCTGATCACTCTTCTGCAACTGGAAAGAAGAATGGTGAGTTCAACAATAAATTGCAGACATAAGCATCCATTATGTCTGCTTTGTTTTCTGTTCTTCACTTCCTAAACTTGAAAATAAGAAGAATCATGAAACTGACCTGGTCCCAGTTTAGAAACAGCATAAAGGAGGTCATAATTGATGACTGGTGTATCATCAGTTTTCGATTGCCAATCTGCAGGAGGGGAGGCTGGAGGGGAGATGAGGAATTGCTTGGATGGCTGGGGTGGAGCCAAGTGGAAGGCTTCTCCATCATTCTCCAGAGTCTGGACCTTTACAGAGATGAAGGGGGAAACACAGTATTGCTTTAGGAGAGTACAGATAGAGAAGAATAAAACAATTATGTTCAGTCCAATACCCCCCATATTTTGGGGACCAATTTCCAGAGGATTGTTAGTTTCAGTCTCAACTAATCTCGAAGGCACCAGGATGGAAAAGAAGGCTGCAGTAAAGGACAGAAAGTGCTGTGCTATTTTCAGGTAGTATTGTATTACACTCATAACTGTCCTCCCCTTTCCAAAGGGATGGGCTAATGTAGCTAATGTCTATAAGGCCAATGGAAACAAGCTAAATCTGTCTTTTTGACCGCCTGTGCCACACTTGATCTGCAAAGAAAATAAAGGGATGACTTTGCTCTCTGTAGAAATCCTATAGCTGAAGGGCAGAGAAAGGCGATGTCTAAGCATTCATAAGATTCCTTGCTTCAGCTAATTTATACAGTATACCTGACTATTTAATTAAAAAAGGAAATGGAAATCTTATACACTACAACATGGAGCAACCTCTAACATTATCTTTATTGGCAAGAATGCCCCCAGGTCAGTGGTGGGATTCAAATATGTGAACAATTGGTTCTCTGTGTGGATGCCACTTCCGGAAGTCCATTCTGGGCCTGGGGGACAAAAAATTAACTACCAGTTCTGCTGAACTGGTGCGAACCGGTTGAATCCCACCACTGCCCCAGATCCCAGAAAGAGTCTACAGGCATTCTTAAAAGTTAAAAATGGGAGGCAGCTGCGGCCCACAGCTTTGCCTGGGATATGCCCACTTACCTAGGAAAAAAGACAAAGATAGCCTTAGTGATAGTCAGTATCAAGGGAGCTAGAAGATGTGAAGGAGAATCTTCACCAATTTGTATTCTGGCAAAGGATATTTAGTGACTGGCCATACCATTATACTGAATAGGCAAAGCCCCCACATATTTCCAAACAATGTCCACTGATACCAAAAGTTTGTCTAGTCATATTCTACACATCTACATTCCTAGTCTGTAATCACAATAAATTACTGACAGATGCTGTCTTAAAGATAAGACTAATGAACCAGACTTCAGGAGCTCTCATTGGCTCTGGCATTCTACTTCCCAATGTGTTGAGGATTCCATGTTTTCTCCCTAGTTTTTCTTTGATGGGTGATTGCATCCTGATCTCCAACCTTTTGTCACATGCATAGTGAAACAGTGTTGTGGGGCTCTTCTTCCTTTAAAATGTGTGGTTTGGTTCCTTTGGTGATGTAGACAACTTATTGGTACACAGTGCCATGTCTGTATAGCTTGGTTAGACTATCAAAACAATATTGCTAATGGAAGAAAAATCGTTCTTTCAGCTTGTCTGTTGCTGGTGTGCAGATTTTTCAGTTATATGGAGATTGCCCAACCCAAATCAGTATTTATTTACATATTTAATAGAGTCAAAGGGCCACCCAACTAAAATAGTGTGATTCTGGGCAGCATGAATATAAACATCAGATCACTATGGCTGCTTTGAGTATTACAAAGGATACTGGAGCAGTGGTGGGATTCAGCTGGTTCGCACCACTTTGGCAGAACCGTAGCTAATTTTTTGTTGCCTAGGCCCAGAATGGACTTCCGGAAGCAGCATCCACATAGAGAACTGGTTGTTTACATATTTGAATCCCACCACTGGACTGGAAGCTAAAACATAAAGAACAGTTGCATGAATTGGGTATGTCTAGTTTAATGAAGAGAAGGACTAGGGGTGACATGATAGCAGTGTTTCAATATTTGAGGGGCTGCCACAAGGAAGAGGGAGTCAATCTCTTGTCCAAAGCACTTGAAGGCAGGACAAGAAACAATGGTTGGAAACTAATGAAGGAGAGAACCAACCTAGAAATAAGGAGAAATTTCCTGATAGTTAGAACAATTAATCAGTGGAAGGGCTGGCCTCCAGAAGTTGAGGGTGCCCCAACACTGAAGATTTTTAAGAACAGATTGGAAAACCATTTGTCTGAAATGATATAGGATTTACTGCTTGAGCAGAGGGTTGGACTAGAATAGAGGTCCCCTACCTTTTTGGCACCAGGGACCGGTTTCATGGAAGACAATTTTTCCATGGACGGGGGGGGGGGGGGGAGGTTTCAGGAAGATTCATTATATTTATTCTAAATTTTCTAAATAAACAAACAAATAAATAATGCACTTTATTTCTATTATAATTACATTGTATTAGACTAGACCAGTGACTTTCTGCTTCTAAGAAAGTGGGAAGGAAAAGAGACAATCCTAAATTCAGCCATCCAGCAAAACAAACCAAAGACCCAGCACATTGAAGAAGTGCTGAGAAAACCATTCAAAGAGAGAGAGAGAGAGAAAGAAAGAGAGGGAGGGAGGGAGGCAAGGAACTGCGCAAGCCCAGCAGCCTTGGAAAAGGTGCAGATGAGAGAGGGATTCCCTTGAAGACACAGTGCTTAAGGGGAAATGTAGCTTCTCCCCTCCCCCCTTGCAAGCTGGGTAGGAGCACGCTTGGCTTGCAAACTTGAGAGCTGCATGAAGAAAGGAGCGTAAACACACACACAAACCAAATTAAACCACAAAAAGCAGGCAGGACATTGCAAAAACGTGAGGCACCTGGAGCACCATCAAAACAAAAGCAAAAACCTCAGCAGTCTTAGAAAAGGTGCAAACGAGAGAGAGATTCCCTTGAAGACGCAGTGCTTAAAGTGAAAGGTAGCTTCTCCTTGCCCTTATTTGCATTCTGAGAAAGCACCCTCACAAACACATACCTTGGGGGAGGAGGATCCCCCTCCAACAAGGTTTTGGGGAAGCCCCTGGTTGCAAGCTGGGCTGGCGCGCTCTTGCTTTGCAAACTTGGAGACTTGCGCAAAGGGGAGCACGAGCCCAGCTGTGGTGCCAGGAGGGGGAGAGGAGGAAAGTGAGGAAAGAAGAGGAGGAGGAAGAAAAAGCAACAGGAGGGAGAGGAAGCAGGAAGAGGAGGAGGAGGAGGAGGCAGAAGAAGAGAGAGCACAAGAAGGAGAAGAGGAGGAAGGATGCTGTGCTCAGATGTTGCAAGCCAGTTGCAAGCGCAGTTTCTGTAGAATCTTTGCAATGAGCAAGCTTCTGCCCTGCCACTCTCCCACCCAGTGGTGGGATTCAAATATGGGAACAACCGGTTTTATGTATGGATGTCACTTCCGGAAGTCCATTCTGGGCCTGGGCAACAAAAAATTAGCTACCGGTTCTGCCGAAGTGGTATGAACTGGCTGAATCCCACCACTGCTCCCGCCCCTGCCCAGACCCCTGCAGACTCGCTGCATGCCTCCAGCTGCACGGCCCGCTTCCTAACTGGCCGCAGACCAGTACCGGTCCATGGACTGGGGGTTGGGGACCCCTAGACTAGAAGATCTCCAAGGTTGCTTCCAACTCTCTTATTCTGTTATTCTGTTAAAAATGTTCCCCATTTTTACACTATATATAAGGAAAATGGGAAATACACTAGAGCTTTAGAACAATGAAGTCCTAACCCATGCATCCTAGTCATTTATTTATCATATTTAGAAATATATTTAGAAACATATTGACAGAGGTGCTTCATCATCAGCTATATTAGTTCATGTTGCCTGTATGTAAATTTAGTTGGTCCTGCAACATGACAAGATTAAACTGTTTTAAATGATACCATAAAGAAAATATAGATCATAACATGACAAAGGTACCAAAACATTTTTAAGTTTTAGTTCAGACTAGCAGGCGGGTGCTCTTTTGGCTTTGATTATCTTGAGGCAATGCAAAGACAGACAGAACTTTTTTTTTCCTTCCATGCAATCATGTCCAATTCCAGAGACTGTCTGGACTAGTCCCTAAACATTTCTTGGCAAGATTTTTCAGAGGTGATTTGCCATTGCTATTGCCTCTTTCCTAGGGCTGAGAGAAAGTGACTCGAGGTTACCCAGCTGGCTGACTAGAACTCAGTCTCCCAGTTTTTAGCCTAGCCTGGTACCTTAGCCACTATATCAAACTGACTCTCGGACGAAAGTTAACTAAAGTCCAGTATTCCAGTATTTGAGGGGCTGCCACACAAAAAGGGGGTCAACTTCTTTTCCAAAGCACCAGAGGGCAGGACAAGAAACAATGGATGGAAACTAATCAAGGAGAGAAGCAACTTAGAATTAAGGAGAAGCTTCCTAACAGTGAGGACAATTAACCAGTGGAATAGCTTTGCCTTCAGACGTTGTAGGTGCTGCATCACTGGAGGTTTTTAAGAAGAGACTAGACAGTCATTTGTCTGAAAGGGTATAGGTTCTCCTGCTCGAGCAGAGGGCTGGACTAGAAGACCTCCAAGATCCCTTTCAGCTCTATTCTGATTGATTAATATTTTGTGCACTTTACCCATACACACATTATCATGATTAGTATAAGTTCTGGTCTCTTGTCTGACATTAATATGCTCAAAGTTTAAATTACCTCCTCTGTATCTGGGTGAATGCTTGGGTAAAAAAAAAAATACCTTTGCAAAGTAAAGCTTTAATTTCTTCCCTTGGAACTGTGTTTCATGAAGTTCTGTTCTAGCATTAGCAGCTGATTTGGGGTTGTTGAAGTCAATTTTTATGCGTCGAAAACTTTTAAACAGCTGAAATGTCACACAGTCATCATAAGCACGGAACAAGCTCTCAAATTTCTCCTGTAATGGTAAAAAGGTTATCTGGTTACCTTGAAAAGTCCATTGTATCTCTGTAAATGTGATAAATATAAGAAAATAACAGTGATGAGAATTGAATTTAACGACTAACTACCTTTATATAACCAAATTCTTTCCTTTGTTAATTTTATGTTATAGTATACAAATTCATACATAATATGAAACCATATAAAGAACGTATGTGTAGTAAAACAATAATCAACACATATAACAATCTGACCTGGGGGGAGGGAGAGAACTGGCTGAGGAATACTTTACTGTGATGATGCTAAAAAGACATACAATATTTTCAAATGGTATAATTTGAGTGGCTAGGCATGAAAGAATACCCTTTGATCAATTCTAATCCCTCCCTTGCAATAATTTCACTCATTATCACTCCAATCTCACTGCCTTCCAGGGGACTGACAAACTTTTGTCTGTTTTTCAGTGTCTAATACTCTTATTGCATCCTTTGTGCCCATGAACCCTCATCACATTAATCTGTTGTTGTCGGCATGTTTGTATACCTTGTTCTGGACCAATCAGTTAGATGGGTCTATATGTTAGAGTTAGATGGGTCTGTATGTTAGAATATTTGGCATTTATAGAGTTAAGCACTGTCTCCTTAAGAGATGGCTTATGGGTAATGTAGTTTAGCTATTCAGTTAATCCCATGTTAACAGGTCAATAGGAGGAGCTACTAACTTTATCACAGGATATCCTGGCTACGTGCCAGTTTGGAATGCCTTTGTCTGAGTTAAGCATGAGACCACCATAGGACACACAAGGTCTGATTCCACGCTAGAAGTTGATATGAAGGAATTATTAATTTTTTACCTATAAGGATGAACAGATGTGCAATATCCAGATGAAACTATCAAGAAATGTGAGTTCAGCAGTATTCCTGAATAAATGTCTGTTTTACAATTATCTTTATTTAGTCATCTGTCTGACCTTGGATTAAAAAGCATCTTGATTCAGATTTCAGAACATACCTGCTTCCCGAAGGTCAGTATTCCTGTCACTGAATCACAAAAAAAAAGAAAGTAAAAGGCTAAACCACCAAGGGTCAGCTTTCTCTGGCTGGCCTGGACATAAATAGCTACAGAAGCATAGATTCCCCCCAAGCCAGATGGGAGGAGAAAGTTGTGCTGTGGATCAGATAGAGATCAACAACTGTCCCAAAAACCAGTCCCAAATCACACTGAATGTCTCCATAGGGGATCTTCCATTTTGGATGGAAAATACCATGTTCCTAACATTAACCCTAACTTGATTCTGTTTCAGCCAGCTTGAGAGTGAGTTGGCAGGGAGATTGAAACTCTGTTGTGAGAACATTCCATCCATAAATAGTGGCTGTCTTGGAGTTTGGGCAAGGAACGTGTGTCGATGACATGGTACTTTTGGTACATGGTGCAGTCTGATACGTGTGTATCTCTGTGTGCTTTCAAGTCAGTTTTTGACTCTAGTAATTGCATGGATGAGTCCCTGCAGTTTTCTTGGCAAGGTTTTTCAGAAGTGGTTTACCCTTGCCTCCTTCCAAGGACTCAAAGTAATCACAGCTCAAAAGACTAGAAGTCATTATCATGGCCATACAATATACAAATGGGAGTAGCAGCAATAGTATTTAGACATATACCTCTTCACAGTGCTTTACAGCCCTCTCTAAGCAGTTTACAGAGTCAGAGTATTGCCCAGAACAATCTGGATCCTCATTGAAGGATGGAATGCTGAGTCAACCTCAAGCCCATCAGGATCGAACTCTAGCCTGTGAGCAGAGTTTGCCTGCAATACTGCATTCTAACCATTGAGCCACCTGGGTTCAAGAGAGCAAATGGGAGCAATACAACCTTCTTAACAGTTGCCATTCACTAAACTGGGTGCCACAGACTTTCTGACATGGGTGAGCAAATCATAGATTGTTATCATATGATACGTATTATGGTATGATATGTATCCATATGTATATGGATTTCCAGAAAAGAAAATGCAGACTACAGGATTCAGGTGACCCTGAGGGCACAGATAAACCTCCAAGTGGCCTCAACAACTCTCACAAAGAGGGCTAACAACCACATGACTGCAAGGAATATAAATCCTTCCATTCTCCATCATTCAATCAGAACTGAAGAGGTTTCTTGGATGAGAAGCAAAGCTCTTCTAGCAAAACAAGAAAGTCTAGCTGCTTTTTGAAAAAAAGCACCTTTGGGACAACCATGATCTGGACCACTGAGAATCTCCAAAGACATGATATATATTAAGTTATCCAGTGCAAGAATATCTGCCCTGTACCTAATGATGAATAATCACTCCAGTAGATAATTCTGTTTGTATCTTCTGTATTGCATTTCCTTCTGACTTAATTGTTTCCTCTTTCCCATCTTATCAGCCAAAGTAGGCTGTGGGGCACAGAAGCTAATATGTTAGTTTTAACACACTGCAAAAGTCTTTATTGCTATTTCTTAAACCGATTAATCAATAGTAAAGCAAAGCAGGTGCTGCAGACACCTACATGCAGGAAAGCTTAATTTTAATATATTAGTTACAGAAAGGCGTTTGATCATTCCCAGGATGTGGTAAATCAAAGAGCATGTCATTGCAGTGATGCACATGACACAAGTAACATGATTTATGTGATGAGTTCATTATACCAGTGATACAGATTACACCTATAAATTTAGAATTATGCAAATAGCATATTGCATAAATACATAAATTGATGCTAATTATGCAAATCACCACAGAATTTGAACCATTGTATGCAAAGTTCATTGCACAAAGATCCAGAAAGCTGATGTTTCATTGTGTCTTAATCTGGCATTTTAACAATGATGAATGACCAGTTACTATATCTAAACATGTAATTATCATCAGGTAATTCCTAAAATAGAAAAAAGAAATACTAAATTGGCTGCAAAGTTTTAGGTAACACAAAAGAGTACAATTCTCTAGAACTGTTTGTTAGGTGAGATGTTACAGAGGATATGAAATAAGCAATAAAATTCAAAATTCCAGAAATGTAAGGCATGAAAAGTAGTGAAAATCTAATTAATCAAAATTATAGTCACCTATCTAACCAAAAACAGCTTCAGATGGCACAAAACAATCAGATAAAACAACAGTGTAAAAACTACAGATATCAAATGTAAAATACATATTAATAAATATCATAAAAACCCAAAATACCCATATTTTTCTGTCTATAAGACGTACCCTTGTATAAGACACTCTCCGCAAAGTTTGGCCGGCCGAAGATCTTGCCCCCTCCCCCCTCACGTTAGTGACAAGCCCGCAGAGGCTTGACACCCGCACCAGGTGGCATGGCAACCCACACAGGCATGCCCTGGGCTGCGGAGGTTACCATTATTTTTCCGTATATAAGACCCACCTGATTTTTGAAGAGGGTGTTTGCAGGAAAAAATAGCGTCTTATACACAGAAAAATACGGTAGAAACCCTGGGCAATAGGAAGGATAAAAATGGCCACTTCAACAGTTGAAGCATCTCAGCAAATCTCCAGTACCCTGGGAACCCCAGGCCTGACAACATAATCAACTTTCGAGAGTCTTTTGGAATATCCAAAGGGATGGAACTAATCTAATTTCAGAGGAAAAGATGTTCCATAAGGCAGGCACCATGACAGAGAAGGCACATCTCCTGGCACCCACCATGTTGCAGGTTCTCTGGCCGATGGAACCTGCAACATGTCTTCTTTGTCAGCTGAAATAGGTCAACCTCGCTGTTTGCTGGAGAAAGTGTTCTTTGATTGAATAGTTCTTGTGATTTAGCAACCACAATTGGGACCAACTTGGTTATTATGGGATGTGATTGCTAAGTGAAACTGTTTCTGTGCTTATGATCGATCTTCAGCTTTCATCTCCTTTACAGGCCTGAAAAAATTGTAAATGTGAGGACTAGTCACAAAATTACTTTTTCATCACTGCAACAAGGCAGTCATTAAACAAGGACTTCCTGTAGAAGACAATACAGTAGCCCACCACAAGACCCTCACACCCACATGTGACCCATCACAAGACCCTCACAAGACCTGACTTGAGGGAATCCTCACCTGACGTGACTTCACCATCACAAGACCCACTGACCACACCTGAAGCCCGTATAAGCAGAAGAACACTGACACTGACATCCCCTTAACTCCACTGAAGATGTTACCTAGCCTGGTAGCGAAACCCACAAGCTCGGAGTACGAACCTTCAACCTCATCCTACACCCGAGCTACAGATATTCGCCACTATTGCAAATATATTAGCTTTCCTGGGTTATTCCATGCCAATTTGGGCAATTTTCCTAGATTAGGAAGCCTCATTCCTCTTCAGAACCAAGAATGTGATTGCTGATGCCACAAGATCAGGGATGACCCTAGCAAGAGTCCATAACATCAGAATGGTGGGCAAGACCAGGGATTGAAGACCTGCCTCTTTCAGACCTGCATTTCAAATATGCAAAAAGAGACGGGGCTTCAGTTTCCTGTTGAAAATCAAATTATAAAATCCCTTCAAGACAAGGAACTGGAATTTGTAGCAAAACAAGAATTTTGTCCATGGTGTTGGAAAAGTGTATAGAAGCAGATTACTGTGTTGCTATGCTTGACCAAAGAATCCCCTCTATGGATACCTGGAATGGAGCAATGGTCACCATTCAGTTCTTATTACAGGCTGACTGTAACTGACTTTAATAAGGTGCATAGCATGAATAAGAAACACAAAATAATGGAAAAAAGAACACCACACAGGACTCCTTGCTGGAAAGAGACTAAAAATGTTCCAAATTTTCTTGTGAAATAGGCATGCTTCTCACCTGAAGAAGTGCAAAAGAGAGAGGCATTTTTCATCCTTCCTTTTGTTTTCACTTTTAGTGGTCATTTAGCAATCACTTGCAGAATTAAATTGCTGAGGAGGAAACGTGCTGCTCCTCTCTTTAAAGTCTCAGTTTAAGCTCAAATGTTGGCTTCCAACCCATGTAGGCAAAAAATGATAAATATTTGGGAAAGATCAAAATCAAGAGGAGGGAGAGGAAATAAGTCAGAAGTTTAGTATGCATTTTATATTCTATAAACCCATATTGCAAGGGTAAATGAGGAACCCTGTTTTAATCAGCACATGGAGGCATGAGGGAGGACAGGAGGGAGGAAGTCCTTTGACACTTGTGCTTTCAGGAGAAACATAATCTAGAGCAAATTACGTTATACTGCACAATTGAGAAGTACTGGATTAGAGAGGCAATTTTACTAAAGCCAACCTTGAGATAAGGAGAAGGCAAAGCCAACAGTTGTGCTACCAGTACCAGAGAGATGTTTGGTCACCTTGCCTCCCTCCCTGGGAGTACGGAGACAAAGCTGAATGGAAGCAGAATTTGTCTGCAGACAGCAAGATCAAATCAAATCAAATTAGCAAGGTCAAATCAAATGTTTATTATGGTCAAAGACCAGCATAAGGAAGGCAGGGTACAGTCAATTAAATACATCAGCGACTAAAAAATAATAATTATAAAAAGCTAAAAGATTTTAGATTTTGTTTTTTTATATTCTTTTTTTATCTTTTATCTAAACAATAATTATTATTGTTTAGATCTATGCTTTTTAATTGGCAGCAACCCACCCTTTAATGCTGGTGGTCTTTGAACATAATAAAGATTTGATTTGGAAAAAAAGTAAAAAGTTAAAAATCAAAGACAGCAAGAAATAAAACCATCATATTGATGATGCACTGTTCCT